TAGTGTTGGATAGCGTTGGATAGCGTTGGGGAAGGTTGAGGCTATCAGAAAAGTTATTTTTTTACGCTTTTGTAGTGTTGGATAGCGTTGGATAGCGTTGGGGAAGGTTGAGGCTATCAAAAAGTTGTATTTTTTTAAACTTTCTGTAGTGTTGGATAGCGTTGGATAGCGTTGGGAAAGGTTGAGGCTATCAGAAAAGTTGCTTTTTAATGTTTTTTTTATAGTGTTGGATAGCGTTGGATAGCGTTGGGAAAGGTTAAGGCTTTAAGAAAAATTGTTTTTGTTGTGCTTCCTGTAGTGTTGGATAGCGTTGGGAGGTGTTGAGATTCTTATAAAAAACATAATTTTAAACAAACTTTGAAACACAATGCTTTTTAGTTGATTAGTAACCAAAAGTTTTTATATATTATTACTATAAGACAATATTAAAAAAAAATATATATATATATATTTATGGTATTATTTACTATATTATGTGTTTCTTTTGAGAGATAATATTCTTATAATATTCAACATAACTGCTGGGTGTGTGCCGTCTGCAATCAGGACCTTTACAATGGCAGAATTTGATGATCCCTTGGAGTCGTGTCCCGGGAGGGAGGGTGGACCAGAAGGACCAAAGCTTGGAATCTTCACCCTTACTCCAGCGGGCGTGCGGGCTTTGCTAGGCCGCAAGCGTGTTCGATCAAGACCCCTGCTCAAACTGACATGTTGTGGTTGCGCCGTAGCTTTTGGGACAACTGTCGCTTCGTGCCCACCGATCTGATAGAGTGGGCCCCTCAGCGCATGACTACTTGCAAGCTGCTGCTGAGATTGAACGTATTTTTTTTAGATTGCAACATTATTCATTATTGATTGTCGTCAGGTGGGCTTTGCCCTACTACCGCTTAACAAAACGGATGAAAGAAATGGGGCTGGCAGAGGAACAACCATCAGGACCAATGCTTACTGCTTTACTGTCTGAGTCTGATTGGGTTATCAATTATATGATACTACGAGAATTGACCGTTTGCGTAGGCGACCTTTGCAATGATTGCCACAACTGTGCACGAAGAGCATTTCCAAATATGACGCGGGTTCAGGTGGTGGAGAGCTTATTTCTTGCGACGTACTGAATTGTTTTTGTTTTTTTGGCATAAGGTTTTCACAATCAGACTAACTGTTCTCACGCTATGAACAAAAGCTCGAGGTGGCGGCCTTGAAGGACGATACCAAGACAGACTTTCAAGAGAATTGGACATCAAGCAACTCGTCACAAGACACTATGAAACAACAACTATTGTCAAACTACTATTAGGCTTTTTGAATCTAAAGCAATCAACAAAACAACATCATATCATATTGATCTTTGTGCCGCTGCAAACGAGGCTTGACAAACTACGTTCAAGAGATTGAAGATCGGATCAACACGGGGGCTACCAGGGTCAAGAAACGTACCAAGTCCGTGGACAAGACAACTGGTCAGAAATGCAAGGTATCCATTCCAGGTGTCTTTGTGGACTTGAATGTGTACAAGCAAGACTTTGGAGATCCAGCTGAGAGGAAACATAAGGTTTGCGATATCATCGATCCGGAGACCGGGAAGATGAAGAAAGCAGCCTTCATTCCAAGAGAAAGGCAGGGTACTTTGAGGGCGAATTGGCAACGACACAGAAGCTTCAGAAAAAGGAGGTTCTGGATTGTGGTCTCAATGCTCTCCGCTCTGGCCAAGTAGACGAATCTTTTGACCAACACATGGAGAGCTTTGCAAAGTCAGCGCCCAAAGTGTTGCCGGATGCAGAAACCTTTGAACAATGCACACAGCCTCGCATTGAAGTGAATGATCATGAAGAGGACTGATTATCCAAGCTGATGTTTGTGAGTATCATGTTCTAAGGTTCTACGAGTTCTATTCTTTGCATGTGTTTCTAATTGTTTTTTAATTATAACTAGTACTTTTGTCATATGTGTACGACTTGGTTTGTCATTGCCAACTATCAATCAGTTGTTGTCAGGAAGCTATCAATTCACTTCGCCCAAGCTCCAAGAAAGAAGACAACGATGATGAGGCCAAGGGCGAAGAGATTGATGAGTCTGAGTGCATCGAGTTGATGGTGGCCATGCAGCAACGCGAAGACAGTCAACCCAATTCAAGTGATAGTTTGACTCACGATGCTTTGCGCACCCACGATGCCGTTCACACTGCGAAGCGTGTTGCAGGCAAACACAATGATTTTCCATCATCAACAAAGAGGCGGATTGCGCAACCAAACCAGGCTGATGAAGCAGTGGCTGCTGGTCATGGAGCTTCATCCTCTGCGTCCCAATCAGGCAGAGCTCTTGGCGTTGGGCCAGGGAGTGTTGTTTTATCCACTGCGGCCAAACCTGCGCCTACGGCTCCAACTGAGAAACCATCTGAGTCTGACTGGCTGATCTTCTTGAAATCTGGTTGGGACTCATGCGCTTCTGTGGCTGCCTTGGACCTTACTACAGAAAGTGGTGGCTACATTTGCAACATGCCTGCCACTGCAGACAAGGCCAAGTGGTCAGCAGCAGTCAAAGCTGTGTCCGCGCAGCTAGTGTTGATCAAAGACTTGCTTGAATCTGGCAAAATCAAAGACCAAGAGATCAAGAGTGCTGCCACACAGCTCAAGAAGATTGCCAATGCCAAATGCAAGAAGGCTGGTACCAAGAGCAAACCTGAGTTGCTCTCAGACAGATTCAAGGCATTGAGTGAGTTTCTACTAGAAGTCGAGAAGTTCCGGAGTGGGATCGTCAGCTCACGGATGGGCTCTATTTCGTCTGAGGACATCTCCAAAGGCATGGATAGCCTTACAACGTCATGGCAGAAGTTGGATTCATTGACTTCCAGTGGCCGTTCCGGCACTTGTCTGGGCTCTACTGTGGCGTTGCCAGAGGTGTGGGTGACATCATGGGTGAGTTGCGTGCATGGCCAAGTGTAGTTTTTTTGTCATAGTTATAAGGTGGTGTTATGTTGATATTGATATAGTGATTATATAATATGTTTATGATATAGTAATGATATTGCAGCTGTTGTTTTGTTGTCGCCTTGCTTAGGTTCATCGGTGACATCGGTTCTCAACAAGATGAAAACTGATTTGACTATGGGCTTGGAGGATGCGGATAAAGCTGCAGCAGCAGAGTTGGTTAAACAAGCAGCACAGGCTATCTTTCTCTTCCCAGATAATCTGGAATCTGGCTCGCCAGAGGAGAACAATGCTTATGGCAAGCTCAGTGATTTCTTCTGGTTCACAAAGTCAGAATTTTCCGAGAATGTGCAGCAGCTGCAACAAAAGGTTCTGGCATCCGCACTCTCACACATCTTCACCACTAGCCCAAAGGATGACTATCAATGTGAAGCTCATGACTACGCTGCCCTTTTGCTATGCTTTCTTCCCCAGCAAGATGTCATGGCCAAGGCAGTGCTTGATGAACATGTTGGAAAATATCTCGTGATCTTGGGAAATCTCGCAGGCAAGGTGAAGTCAATCACCGGTGGTATGAGTCCAGGCAAAGGACGCAAAGTTACTCTCTCGATTTCTCATGACACCAGGCTACAAGAAGTTTGCTTTGTTTCTTCAGGCTGAACTGAGCCGATCTCAGCAAGATCAGGCTGCAACACAGCGTGCCAAGACTTTGCAGACTGATGTGTCTGAAGTCAATGCAATCCTGACAGGCCGAACACAGGTGGGGCCGTTCACCTTGATGCGCTTGGTTGATATGGTCAAAACTCTCCAGAAGCTTGTTGAGGGCATCGCTGCTCTTCCTATGGGTGAGAGCTCCCAGCGCAAGGAGATCCGCGTAACTGGTCTATCTGTTAGCGATGATTTCGAGGACTGTGACTGTGTGATTGATTGATTGATTGTCGATTGTTATTTTATTTGTTTGGTTATTTGGTGACTGATGTGATTGTTGTTGGTGATTGTATTACAAAAAAATAGATGATTGCCTTGAGTCAGGAGTTCATCGTGGACCGCTTCACACAGACAGTGGGCAGTTTCCTGCGCACATGGGATGTGATTGGGGCTGAGCTTGTGGATGATGTGATGGCCTTTGCTGATGCTTTTGGCAAGACGGAGAAGATGTTAGAGCTGTGTGCTCCGCTGAAACTGACCACCAAGGACGTGCTCAAGAATGTGGGCTACCTTTGTGAGGCTTTCGCTTTCCAACATCATTCAGAACAGTTCATGCAGGCTCTATCAACACAAGATGTGAGCATATGGACTGACAATGGCCAGCCAGATACACCTCAAGCTGAGCGAGCGCTGCGATTCCAACACTTGTGTTGTGATTATCTGCCAAACTTCAAGCTTTGCGCAGCATGGTCAGCATTCACCAAAGAAGCACAGGACGGCTTCGACAATCTGTTTGGACAATTGCGGAAGCTATCGAAGGATGTGATGTGGAAGCTGCACAACATGGTCGTTGATTTCTATGGCACCTCCAATGACAAACCAAAGGACGGGTGGATGGCATCAGACCCAGGCCTGGAGAAAGCGCATGCCGACATGAAGAGTGCGCTCATGAAACTCCAGGCGCTTTGTCCGGCTGGAGAAGCTCCGTCTTCTGTGATGAAGGTGCTTGAGACATCCATCAAAGAGATTGACAGCATCTTAGACGTGCAGCTCACAGCCGAGGAAAAGAATATGAAGGCAGAGATCTGTGCAGAGATCAAATCTATGCGGTCGCTATTGCCAGCATTGACCTTGGAGGAGTTGATGAATGATCAGTCAGTGGAGTTTTTTCAGAGCCAAATGGCTAACGCATCTTCAGTGAGCGGTCGTGCTGGACCATTTTTCGAGAGAATTGATGCGTCCAAACCACTTGATCGCTTTGGACAAGAGCTCTGTGGTGAGGTCAACCAGTTGTCATCTTTCTTGAAGGTGTTCTTGGCATCGCTGTCTGCTTGTGGCATTCTCAAACAGGCAGATCCTGCCAAAGCTGCATCGTTCGAGGAGACGCGGCTGAAACCCAGAGATTTGTCAATGGACCAGATTCCCAAATGTATCAGGTCCAAGATCGAAGCTCTTGCAAAGAAATAGCGGCGCGTGACACAAGGGTTTGGATCGTCATGAGGTTGAGGGCCAAATGGACATTTTCAGTTTCAAAGTGTTTGTGATGATCAATTTGTGTTTAGATGTTTTTTCGTAGTTTAGGTTTCGCAGAATGCGAGTGTCGGATGACTTCTTCACCTTCATTCTTCTTATGACAGTTTCGTTCCGTTTTGTTCTGAAACCAGAACTTGTACAGAAATCAGAAATCTGTGATTTCCACAGACTGGTGACCACGGCCGACAGCTGCCTTGCGGGAGGGCGGCAACAGGCACCGGTCATCAGCGTGGAGAGACCACTTTACTCGGGGCCAAAGGCTACGCACTAGCTTACCATCCTTAACGACTTAGCTTGGAGTGAAACTGCTGAGCCTTGCTGGGCTAACTGACTAAGGGCGGTCGAATGAATTTGAACTTTTGTTGCACTGCATTGTTGCACTTCAACTGTGACCAACAAGACCTGCTGGCAGATAACATTGGGTTTGGGCAGGGCCGGGACACAATATGAAACAACAAGACAAAACAAAACATTCAAGCGCTACACAAACAAGAAGCTAAGTGAACCATAATGACAATAGAATAATGTTATTTTTGAGCCTTTCTACGTGATTCATGAACAACATGGAAGAAGATTGGGACCCACTTGATGCCGGAGACTTGGAGACTAGATTCAATTTTCAACAATCCTTTTGATCGAGCTTAACGTTGCTGAGGCTGTTCCAAGTGATCCTTTGGATGTGTGGCTCTTAAACAGAGCTGCGTCACAGTGCATAACAAATCTTGACAATGGCTGATGTTCTTAGGTGTTGCCACTATTTCCATTGGGCGCAAGCCGCCCACGAATTGCTCCAGAGCCCGATGTCGGAGTGGCTAGCACTGACTTGGCTGGCACCAACACCGACAGTCACCGTGAGATTTGCCAAAATGCTTGTGGTGATGTTGATTTCCTTTCGCAGCTAGACAGAAAGCACTGTGAGCCCTGCGAGCTGTCAAACGCTTTGCAGGCTTCTGAACAGCAGGTGCACTTTGATGTCTTGTGGGCTAGAGTGTTGCGGACAGGTCATTTGTCTGACATCGCACTCTCTGCTTCAATTCAAACCTATGCGGGTGTGCAGGTTGACTTGGACCAAGACTTGAAGACATGGGGTTGGGATGAGTCGTCAGCATCAGAGTTCGGGCGTGAGCCTTTACACGAGATAGGTCTGCTTGCGCCTGCAGATGTTGTGACTGGTCGATCATCAGAAGAAACCCATGAAACATGCCTGGGACCGTGCTCAGGGCAGGAACCATGGCTGGAATCAGTTGTAAACATACTGGGGGAAGGCGCGCTCTGCCAAAGGCTTCACGAAGTTAAGGAAGCTCACAGGAGCTCAGGCAGTGACGCGGGCTTGACCTATGGAAGCGATTG